TTTCATTTCGAACTTAGGTGATACAGTTGGCATGTACCGTGTTATATTTTAATTCGAAATGGTACAAATTTGTTTCGATTAAATTTTAGTGTATCAATTAATATTTTGATGTAACGATTAATATGTCAAAATATTATTGGTATAGTTTTTTTTATTTATATTTTTAAAAATAAAATAAAAACAAAAATAAAAATAAAATAGTACTTATCAAACAATATTGAAGAAACATGTCTATTTCTTTAAAAAAGTATATTTATCAATATGTATACTTTATCAACAAAATATGTATGTTTTTCAATAAACATATATAAATTATAAATCAGATATCAAATTATTGTTATTATTGTTTACTAAATAGGTCAAATGATTGCTTAGTTGGTTTAGATCTAAAAGAATATTATTATAAATCTAATTAAATGTTTAATTTTTTTAGTTGGAATAGACTCAAATAAATACATGAATTTTTGTAAAATAAATGTAAAATGTGTTGATGTACTATTTCCCTTTAATATTATCTTTATTGTCTAAAAAAAAATTCTAAGAACATTTCATGAATTTTTACATTTTGAATATGTTTTTAATTTCTCAAAATTAGTTTTTTTTAGGTATTTATATTTCTTAAACTCATTAAATATAATTTCAATGTTATATATTTAATTTATATATAAACATATACTTGTTCTGCATATTTAAATCAAATGGTCTGTTACTTACCCTTTAAATAGCAACACTCATAGATTTGAGTTTTGATTTCTTGAGATTACACATTTCTCCTTCTCCTTTAGAATGTTTGGATTATTTGTAACTTATTAAAAAATATATATAAATATATACTTATAATAATAAATCCAAAATGATATACCAAAAATTTTAATATCTGATATGTCTATTTTAATAGTAAAATCATTAGGCACATTGATACAATATTTTTTTGATACATTAAATAATAAATTATATAATAAAAAATAATTATTTTATTCTCAAATCTTTTTTCATTTATTTTAAAATTTAAATTTAAAAATTTTAAACTAAAAATTTTAAATTCTTAATTATTAAATTATATTGAGAAGGGCCTTTTTCCGGTTTTCTCTGTTGGACTCATCTCCGCATCAAGTGGGCCCAGATCGTTTCCTCGATTGATCTCTTCACCGATGACTTATCTCAATTTGTTTTTTTTTTTTTTTTTTTGAAAAGTCTTTGAAAGCCCATTGCCGGGATGGCTGTGGCCCATGGGCCA